GGATAATGAGATATAATGGGGTGTAGTGAGATATAATGGGGTGTAGTGAGGTACAGTGAGGTATAATGAGGTATAATGAGGTACAGTGTGGGATAATGAGGTATAATGAGGTACAGTGAGGAATAATGAGATATAATGGGGTGTAGTGAGGTACAGTGAGGTATAATGAGGTATAATGAGGTATAATGAAGTATAATGAGGTATAATGAGGTACAGTGAGGAATAATGAGATATAATGGGGTGTAGTGAGGTACAGTGAGGTATAATGAGGTACAGTCAGGTATAATGAGGTACAGTGAGGTATAATGAAGTATAATGAGGTATAATGAGGTACAGTGAGGAATAATGAGATATAATGAGGTACAGTGAGGTATAATGAGGTACAGTGTGGGATAATGAGGTATAATGAGGTACAGTGAGGTATAATGAGGTATAATGAGGTACAGTGAGGTATAATGAGGTATAATGAGGTATAATGAGGTACAGTGATGTATAATGAGGTATAATGAGGTACAGTGAGGGATAATGAGATATAATGGGGTGTAGTGAGATATAATGGGGTGTAGTGAGGTATAATGAGGTATAATGAAGTATAATGAGGTATAATGAGGTACAGTGAGGCTAAAAACACTTTTCCTTTAGTAAACCAACAGAACAGTGAGGAGAATGAACCTTTAAAAATGTTATCGTTGTAAAAATGTTAGTTTTGAAGGCAGCAGGTTGTTGGTCTTTCATCCTGAAGTCCACTTCCTGTTCGTCCTCAGGTGTTTTATGGAAACTCTGACCGCTCAGCTTCGGTCCAGAATCTTCTCCGGCCACCCATCGTGGCTCGTTACGTCCGTATCCTCCCTCTGGGCTGGCATACCCGCATCGCTCTGCGCCTGGAGCTGCTGACCTGCATGAAGAAATGCATGTGACCCCCCCACCCCCACCCCACCCCAAACACTGCCCCTTAAACCTGTCTGGTTTGTGATTTTTATCCCCTGAGTAACAAGCTGATCCTAAAATATTCAACACCAAACTCTTTGTTTTACACCTGACACACTCCTAATGAATTAATTTGTTTGAAATGTTCAACAAGCTTCTCTTCAGCCAGCAGCTTCCTGCTGAGGCTTTCATTTGACCAGTTCTCAAAGGATCGCTCCGTTTGTAACAAGACAGAATAAATTCAAAGCATTAATGAGGAGCGAGAGCGTTCCCATGGACCATGTAGCTACAGGTTTGTGAGCTAGAGGGAAATATTTTACTGTACGATAATACTGAAAGTCTTTATTCTTTTAAAAGTCTTTGGTTTGGTTCATCCTACTTCAATTTCCAAAAACAGGATTAGATCACAATCATCTGCTAAATGTTGCAGTCAAAAGTCAAATAAAGTCCTCACTCTTTCTGTTTTCAGGACTTTATAAACCTGATCTGGTCTATCACAGGTTCTAAAAGTGAACAAAACCCCGACAGAGTCCACCAAGTCTTTATTTATGAATATTGAAGCTGAAAAACTGTGTCTAGTCTGTACTTACCTGGTACTTTCTGGTGCGTACCTGGTCTGTCCCAGTCCAGGTCCCTATGAGAACTGGGTTGTAATATGAACCTATACTTACAGAGTACCCGGTACTAAATGAGTATAAACCAGGAACAAACTTCTACTGAGTAACTGTTGTGTTTTTTGTTTCCTTTAACATTTCCACAGATTTTCCCATGATGCTTTGCGTGTTGTGCTCTTTATTGTATTTTCTAACTGTTTCCTTGATTAAACCCAGGTGTCCGTCATGTTTTCTTGTCGTTTCTGTGCAACAAACCAATCGGAGATGTTCAAAAATGTACAGGTGACATTTATTATGAGACCCTCTGGTATTTAAATGACGTTTGGGTTTCCATACAGTCGTTTTTATTTACACCCTGTCAGAAGAGGAAAACAGCTCCATGAGAAAAGAAACTATGTTTGAGGATTCACATTCATTTCTGGGAACAAAAAGTTGTCTTCTTGTGTGTGTGTGTGTGTGTGTGTGTGTGTGTGTGTGTGTGTGTGTGTGTGTGTGTGTGTGTTTAAGCCTCTGTTTCCTTCATAATGTTGTCAGTGAGCTGAGTGTAAGGCTTCGGGTCTCTATCAAGGCAAGCTTTGTCATCATGTCGGACCAGAACAATCATCAGCAGTTTTGACTCACACAGGTTCACCGTGCTGTTGTAGTGAGTCGTGTTCAGGTCCTGAGTCGTGTTCAGGTCAAGATTTGTGTTTATGTCAAGAGTCGTGTTCAGGTACCAAGTCCTGTTCAGGTCAAGAGTCGTGTTCAGGTCCTAAGTCGTGTTCAGGTCAAGAGTCGTGTTCAGGTCAAGAGTCGTGTTCAGGTACCGAGTCGTGTTCAGGTCAAGAGTCGTGTTCAGGTTAAGAGTCGTGTTCAGGTCAAGAGTCGTGTTCAGGTCAAGAGTCGTGTTCAGGTCAAGAGTCGTGTTCAGGTACCGAGTCGTGTTCAGGTTAAGAGTCGTGTTCAGGTACCGAGTCCTGTTCAGGTCCTGAGTCGTGCTCAGGTTTTATTGACACACTTAATGGTTTTCAGGACCTCCTGTGTTCTTTAGGGCTCTCTCATGTTTCAGTCTTGTTATTGCTTTCAGTCTGAACTTTTGTTTAAATCGGATCTAATTTTTTTCTGACAAACATTTAGTTGTTTTTTGTCGAGGCCACAAATCGTCTTTAAGATTTAAATAACATTTCTATAGGTGGTCCACATGACTCCAGGTAAATGCTTTAGGAAACAATCCTCCCTGATCATGACAGCTGAAAATGAGTAAATATATATATATATATTAAAAAAACAATTTACAAAAAAAAACACAATGGCACAGGCGCAGAAATGTAAACAAACGTCACAGAATAAGTCTGGTCTTATTGGTCTGTCCCATCAGAACAGAGGGAGAAAAGGGGCGGACCCTAAGACTTTTATTTTTATTGCATGCCGCCATGAAAGGCGGGCGCTCGTGTAAAAACCTACGTCTCTGTGGATGAATTTATATGAAACTTCCAGAAATATTCTGAAGTTTTAGAGTCAACCAGATTCAAAATGTCCGCCCACCTTACTGAGCTAAAATGTAGCATACTAACCAAACTCAGACGATAAACTGATTAAAACAACAGTTCTCAGTTTAAAGTGTCTGTGACATGCATATTCTTCAAATACAAAAGGTCAAAGAAAACATCATTATATTCAAGAAAGTTGGAATAAGACACACAATTTAACCCATTCTGTCCCATAACTGCATATTTTCTTTTGAACTTGGCTCAGCCAAAGTGAAACAGGAAGTGACATCAAAGGGGAACTCTTTAACAAATAAAACTCTCTGGTCTTTGTTTATTGAAACAATATTTAAACTCTGACTCATTATCTCTCTGATAGACTCAAAATAATCTAAATAAACATCAGATTCTTCTCTGCAGTCTGTTAGCTGTTGTAGCACTGCTCTGTTCGCATTCAAACATTCCCCTCTGACATCACTTCCTGTTACTTCACAGGCAAATATCTCAACAACTGTTCATCTCAGCGACATGAAATTTCTTTTGCCATATTTTATCAATGTCCTCTTTCTAAAAATGCATTCATATGTATAACAAAAATTGGACGTCACAGGCACTTTAAAGCTCATGAAAGGCAGCGGTGATGTGGGTTCCTTGAGGGAAGCCTAAACGTTTCTCATGAGAGAATGTGGAGAAAACCTGGTTTACTGTGACCTGCTGATGGATAATAACTGGTTTCCTTTCTTGTTTTTTGGAAGAAGTTTCACTTTTTATATAAAAACCTTCTTCAGTTCTGATCGTTGGGACGGTTGCAGTAAAAACTGCTGTTTTTCTCTTTTAAATGTAGGTACAAGAAGAAATAAAGCCAGACTTATCCTTTGAAGCTCTTAAAGGTCTTAGCTGAGGTCCACCTCGCAGCCGAGCGTCGTCGTCGTTCAAACCTCAGAGGTCCGTCTGTCTCTGGACGGTTCCAGACAACTCAAAGATGGCAGCATGAAGCTGTTTTCACGGTAAACAAACTCATAAAGTGGTTCAGTTTTTTTAAAAAAACGTGACAATAAGTGGATGTAAAGCACAGATCTGCTACTGAACCCTGCAGACAGACAGGTGAGACTTCTACCTCCTCAGAGATTCAGGTTTCCATCAGTTTCTTCTCCTCAATGAGATCAACGGGAAAAGATTGTAAAAAATAACACAATGGAAAGAAATCTGTTAAAACGTCATAAATAACCAAAAAAGGGACATTCATCATTATTAAATATTCTTCTTGACTTATTATATTAACACATAAATATCTATTCATCTCTCTGTTGAAACTAAAGCTCTTGCAGTTACACATTTAATCCAAAATGACCTTAAAATATTCCCTACATGCTGTCATTTATAGCTTATATCCTTGAATTGAAAACATAAATATTTAATAAATAATGATATAAATCTTTCTCTCTTTTGTTTTTTTGTTATCAAAGATCAGAGTTTGAAAACCCTCCGAGTTTGTCGGCCGCTGTCGCTGCAGCGGCGCCGTGTGAGCAGGAGGTGGCAGCAGAGAGGCCGGCGTCCCCCTTCGGGTTCCTCTGGTCCAGGTCCAGAGTCCTGAGAGGACCCGGGTTCTTTCTTGTACCGTTATGACGGGCCTGTCTGGTCTTTGAAGGTTTCACGAGGATCAACAGGAAACTGATGGAGAACTTGTGAGGTTTTAGTCCAGGATCCAGGATCGAGCGGTTCTGGACCCGTTACAGAGCCGTCTCCTTCAGGTCGTTGAGATTGGGCATCCTGGTGCGGGAGGCCCGGGTGAAGGTGGGACCGTTCTGACCCGGTTTGATGCCCAGCTGTTCCGGGGTGAACTGGGCCCCCTCCACTCGCTGCAGGGCGGACACGTGCCAGCTGGACTCGATCTGTCCCGGTAGCGGGTAGCTGGCCTTGCGGTTCTTCGGCTGGCCGGAGCTGCTGACCCCCGAGTGGCTCCGGCCCTCCGTGTGCCCTCGGGTCTCGGGGTAACCCGGTTTGGAGGAGGGCTGGGGCGGGTTGGGCAGAGGGGCTTGGAAGCGCAGGTCTTGTGGGGGAGGAGGGGGCTGTCCCTGGTTTGAGGAGGAGGAGGGGGAGAGATGAAGAAGTCGACGGAGAGACTTCAGCGGTTGGCTCTGGAGGAGGGAAAGTTTACAGCCGGGACTCAGTTTAGTCTTTTCCTCTCAGCAAAACTGAGGAATGAAACAAACCAGAGCAGGTACCTGGGAGTGAGAGTCCACCTGTTTGTCCGACGGCCAATCAGAGACTCGGTCCCTCTCTCGCCCCCTCTCCCTCTCTCTCTTGTTTTCTCTCTCGCGCTCCCGGTCCCGGTCTCGGTCCCTGCTCTGGTCCCGGTCCCGGTCTCTGGATCGCTCGCGGTTTTTCCGTCGGCTGCTGTGGTGAGAGGAGGACTTGGAGCTCCTCTGGAGGGACAGGTGCTCCTGTCCGTTTCCGCTCACCTGACGACGAGAGAAAACAAACAAAAACACAAATATTATTAAAAACAAATCATTAAAATAGTTTTTTATTTTTCTTCACACGTCTCATGCAACATGAAGAATAATCATTGATGGATGTCTGCATGAAGAAATGGAAACCCTGTCTTTGTCCAACGGTTTATGAGATATTTTGCTAACAGGCAGACAGTTCTTTTAAGCGCTCAGAAAAACATTTGACCTATGACTTTATTCAATATGGCCGCTTTGGCTAACATTAGCTAACACAAAAACGTCTCAAACTCAGTTATTTTTAAAGATATCAGCTAAAGCTCTGCGTGGTAGTAGCTGAGGGTAGTTGGAGTCTTTGGGTGAWAGATGGAGACACCAGGACTTCCTGCAGGACTTCCTGCTCCGACAACKTGAGACGTTTTGACTCAAAACTCGGTTCAAAGAGTCAATCAGCTGTTTGTGAAACGGGAAAAGCCTCAGAAATTAAAAAGTAGATTTAATTAGAGATGAACCCAAATAAAAGTTTGACCCACTTTTCATTTCTGAGGCGACATGTTTTCTGAAGCATCTAACTTGTTTTTATGATGCAGTGTGAGGGTCCAAATAAGACCTGAATAATGAGAGGCCGGCACAGCAGACATGAAGAAGAAGACTTCTCATGTGCTTCAGCTCTGGAGAGGCTGGTGACTCGCATGTCTAGAAAATATTATCAAGAAAACACAACAGACTATTAGTGCCAGATAAGATATATTTTTGAAATTATAAGAATAAAGTTCGCAACAATTTGAGAATAAAGTCAAAATAATATGAAAATGTTATAAGAATAATGTTGCAATAAAATGAGAATGTCAAAATAGTTTGAGAATAAAATCATACCACTACGAACAAATGTATAAGAATAAAGTCATATGAGAATAAAGAAGTAATAA